AAGTAGAAGTGTCTAATTTAATGTCTCTAAAAAAACTCTAACAAGGAAGAGAAAGAGTATCGTAACAGTCATAGGCCTTTTCTCGCCCATGAAATTGATCCCTATCACTACGATCGTATCGAAAATATGTTCGATCTCCTCGTCAAGATAATGTCTATTTTGGGATACTTTAGAATTATCCATGTCGATTGAATAAGGAATTTGCTTAAAATTGTTCAAATTAGCAATTAGCGCCTTACTCTCTTCAAGAGTAACAGTTATCTGGGTTTGGATAGTAACTATTTGTCGGGTGAATGCATCAAATTGTAAAGGGTCTATGTTTAGGTATTGAAACTAGAAGTGACAGACGACTAGTTGACCATTATCTATGTACTATATTAGCAGCGAAATGACGTGCAATAGAGAGATCAATGAATAATAAGTGCAAGCAATGGAAAAAAAACAACTTGAGCCCTTTTTTTAATTTTTAATTTTGGGATTAAATAAATTTAAATACTGCAAGCTAAAACTGCTGGTACATGTGATAAGTGTATTTTTCACACACTTATTTAATAACTAAACATGTTTATTAATTGATAAAAAGAATAAAATTCTACTCACAACTAGGTAATATTTGCTTTTGTAAATTAAAAATCACCCAAGGAAATAGAACAAGGCAAAAGAAAGTGAAAAAGGACCAAAAGCACACAAAAATGTGAAGTTGGGGACCAAAGTGTGCGAGTGTCAAAAGTTGGGGATAGAAGTTCGCAATTTTTGGAAGACATGATTGAAAGAAAAATCAAATTTTGATGACTAAAATGTACAAGATAAAAGTTGAAGGACCGATCGTGCAATTCTTTGGGGACCAAACTGAAAGAAGGAAAAAGAAGGTTAAGGCACACGATTTAGTCCCACTTTTAAGTAATAGAGTGCAACAAAAGGGTTAAGGTGCACGCCTCATTTTGTACTAGGCGCGTGCTTTAAGTTGAAAATAGGACCAGTGCGCACATTTTAATTTTTCAGGGGGCTCTTCTTGTAATTTTATCGAAACAATTTTTATCATTTTTTTTAAACACCCTTTTCACCCTTTATAACGAGTCAATCTTCATCTTGAAAGAAAAACCATAACCTTCCTCTCTTTCTTTTTACTCTCCTTTTCATTTTTTTTTTCCTTTCTCCTTCTTTGTTCTCTCTTCTTTTCTTGGAAACTTTTAGGGAAAATCTAAAAGCACAACAAGAATACATTTAGAGGAGAAATATTTGGGAAAAATCAAGATCAAGAATCCAAATTCAAAAGGGTTTTATATTGACTCTTGTATTTTCTTCATTATTGTTTCCTATTTGCAATGTATTGTATAGAATATTCTCCTTTTTATTGCTTGTATTAAATGACTTAGTTTATTGTGTTGGGATTTGTGGTATTAATTTAATTTAGCTTTAATTAATTTTTATGTTTGCTATTTAATATTAAAATGCTTGTTTCCTTGTGTTTCTACTATTGTATTTTTATTTATGTGGCCAATAATTGATTGTGTTTAGTAATTTGTACATCGTTCGAGAGAATATTGCGCATTTTAGATTAAATAGTAGAAACCCTAGGTTTGTGTAAAAGATAGAAATATGCCCCTAGCCTTATGTGGCTCAATGAGCTATTTTTGTAAATATTTAATGCAATTGTTTGATTTTAATCGACATGGAGATATAGTAGGTTAAACCAATCAATTAGAATTAATTTTGCTCAAGAGAGGTAATTAACTGAAATTGAAAAATCGGGTCTAATATTGTAAATGAGTAGCTTGTTAATTGGCTTGTGGAGAAATTAATTAGGCATCGATTAAATGAAACCATGAATCCCAACCACTTTTGCTTCCGAAATTTCCCAAGATTTTCATATTTTCTTATTTTGTAGATTTTTAGTTATTTTCCAAAATCACAATTTTATTGTGTGTTTATTTTTATTGTTAGAATTGAATTGATTAAAGTTGTATAATCAAAAGTAAGCATTCTTCAATGGATCAACAGCCTGGACACAAAAGATACACTTTATTACTTGAACGCTATCCGTGCACTTGCGGCATGTATTTTTAGCGAACATGTAAAGTAACAAAGCAAATGTCAAACACTAGTCAAATTCTCCAATCACGTTAACAAGTGGGGAACAATGGAAAGTTAATTCAGTCAATAATTCCGATCAAGTGGAGTTTAAGACTAAAATTATAAAGGTAGCTGCAACACAAAAAATTTAAATGATACAATTTTAAAATGAATAGTAGTATAAACCAAAATAAATAAGAACAGTGACTCCCCATAGTCCGATTGTGACTCCCTATATTTCGATTTGTCTGAATTGCCAACATGTGGGCCCCAAGTATGCTTTTGTTCTATCTTTCATTTCAGATGTCTTCACTTCAGAAATCACTCCAAATGCATCTTGTATAAGAGCAATGTACTTATTTTGTGGTGACTGTCACTCTGCTGTGGTGAAAAGTGAGAGAGTGTGGTTGTTGATTGTTGTTTTTTTTTAAGAAGAGAGTGTGCTTATTTTGTATTTGCAGATATTGATGGATGATCGGCGGTTGTTGTGTGGCTTTGTGTGTAGCAATGGTGGGTTAATGTATATTGAGTGAGTACTGGCGCGAACCGGGAGGTGAGTATTGATTATTGTGGGGTCTAATTGTTAGATTGAGCAATCAGTGTGTTAGCTGATGGTTTGAGATGTCGGCAGCGACAGGTGAAGATAGCTAGAGTGGCGGTGGGTATTGAGGCAGATGGTGTCGCCAGCAGGAGTTGCAGCAAGATGGATGGTAGTTAGTGGAGAGTTGCGTTCGATTTTGTGAAAAGCCAGTGATTAATAGTTGAGCGACGGTGAGTAGTCGACATGGGGGGACGTTAGCGCAAATTGCGATTGGATGGTCGCAGCATGGAGCGATGGCGCCGACAACATAGAGATATAGGTGTCTGGGATATTGATGGGAGTGGAATTGTGGAGTAGAATTTGGGTTGGATTCAATGGCATGAATGTCAAACGTTAAGAGTCAATTTATTGACAAATGGACAAAAACTTTTTCAATTTTCATTGCCTTCTAATGAACTCTTATCGTTACTTGAACACACTGAGTATTTGCTTTCACGAGTGGACCAATTGCATTCTATTTCCATGCTCATATCTATTAATACACTTAGCACGACATTGGTTTCAAATAAGCTGTTAAGACATCCCGAATTTGCTAGACAATTGACAATTGCTTCTTGCCTTGGTGAAATATTCTACATTACGACACCCGATTCCCCTTTTTATGATGAAATAATACAAGATATCTTCCCCTTGATTATATCATCATTTGCAAATCTCACAAGCACATCCATCAATTTGTATGCTACGTCAGTTAGGATACTAGATACCCATGGCTAATACGAAATACTGCATCATAATGTTCCAACACTTTGTTGAAGCTCAAAAAAGAAATCATTTGGGGAATGTCTTCACATCAATAGAGACTATCATGAACTTTACATTGGAAGAAAGTGACAATATTCTTTTGAACTTGATTACCTTTCTGTTGGGTTGTATACAGAATAAACATAATGAGGGTTCTCCAATTGCATTTAATGTATTGGAATACATTTTCAAAAGTGTCCGGACATGATCAAACCTTACTTGTCACGAGTTGTAAAATCTATATGGGTTTGTTTAAATGACTATAGTGTAGTTTTTTCTTCCATTTTCACAAAAGTAGAGTTGTGAACAGTGTACCATGTCCCCTATTATGATCACATCAGTAGCTAATAAATTTAACATTGACATAATTTAGAAAGTACCTAAAGCAATGCCATCTAAGTCAAACATTTTAGATGTCCTAGATCTTGTGCCTACTAAGTTGCATGACTTTCATGTTGACTTTATTTTAGTTCTTCCTCAATTACAATAGACTCCACGGGTTGCCACATTTTATTCTAAAGTCATTACTCGATTGCACACCTTTCCTATTGACATTATGATGTTATCCACTAATTATCGACACGATGTGCCAGCTCATCATTATGTTGGCAAAGTTCCTAAACTTCATGCCAAGTTAAAATGTCAAATCATTTCCAATCATGAAATTTTTGTATTTACTTTCTATGTGCAATATAAATTAGAGTACTCTATTGATGAGTACTACCTTTCTTGTGAGTCTCATTAATCTGATTTCCTAAAAATGTAAAGAAATTGTTTTTTGATAACTCGTATAAAAGTTTTTCATTTGACTGACCATCACACTTAAAGGAAATTTATATTTTCAATGGAGAATAATTGTTTCCTAATAAAGGCATATTCAAGTCTTTGATGTTGCAATCTTTTGTCTCTACAGGCCAGTTTTCGATACTAGCTTCTTATGCTCATTATATACATTATTGTGAAAATTTTGAAAAGGAGTTGCATGAGCGTTTACTAGTTGGAGATTAGGATCGACATTTAATTAAAAAGAGAGAGCACCCCCTGGTTAGATCATGTTCTTGGGAATAAGACGCGATTTTCATTACCATCAATCATAAATTTTCGATATTTGGTTCGTTAGAAAGATCGTTCCCCAGCATGACTTGAAGGATTTTGAGTATCAAATTGACAGCAGTATTTTGTGATCTATCCACTCAACAAGGTTAAGTTTTCTTCCGCCTCGAAAGAGTTGAAAAGGACATCTTCCTATATTTATTTTTATTTGAACTCATACTTATTTTGTTTATTTTAGTTGAACCACTATTTTGCTTTACTTTTTATATTTAGGTTGGGGTGTAATTAGAACAGTTAATGATTGAATAAAACGAAATTCCTCTCCCACTTTCTTCTACTTTTTCTCCTACTTTGTTGATTCTCCTTCTTCTACCTTCCCCCTTTATTCCCTCTTCTTTATAGATTTGTGCCGTTCTCCATTACTTGTCAGTTGGTGCCGCATCACATACCATTTGAAATTTGTCTAAATATTTTAACTCATGACAAGACCTCATGTTATCACATAAAGAATGAAATGAACGACCATACATTTCCAGCAAATTAAAGAATCTTATAATCAGAAAGTTGTATACGTTATTAACAGTAACAAGTAACCCAGGTAGGTGACATTAACATACATCATGAAATTCAAAAGTTTGACAAACCGCATAACAGTCCTGTATTTCCCAAGTCACAATAACTTACATCGTTGTTTCATAAAAGATCACATTACAATCGAAACTTAACGGAATTGGCTCAGGGAATGGTACGCTGATAAAGGGGCAACGCACCCAACGCTTCGCGTTCAGCTCTCTCTCTTTTGATCTGCATCCACATTAAAATACTTAACAGGGAACCTCATTGTCCAAAGCCAGACATGTTCACACAATAAAAGCTACAAAATCACTCATCTTCCCATGCATCTAAACACAGCCCCAGAATGTTAAGAAAAAAGTTTATCCTTCGCTTCTGAAAATTTCATGCTTAGAACGTTTAGATGATATAGGTACTTACAAGAGCCAACATCTCCTGAAGATAGCTCCTAAATGGCGTCTGCATTGCCTGCAAGAGATTAAAGATTAAACATATTTCACCTTACAAGATATAAACTAAATTCTTACATCAGTTCTTCATTGAGGGAGGCAAAATCATGAATTTTTAATTAGTAAAGAAAATAAATACTCAGTCACACTAATTCACAGATACATTCATTTCCTGCATTTGTTTCCTATTGATATTAGTTGCTTCAATTCAAGTCGTTTTTTGGATGAAACCTATTGCTTGCCCTTGCAGCTTATTAAATGCCCGTCTGCTGTCCCTCCTTAATAGCCCACCTTGGCAATGCTCTCCGAACATTTTTCAAAACAAGATAATTTCATGATTAGATAGTTTTGGTTTTTTGTATATGAAATGAGATGAAATCAGAACATTTAGATAGATAGAATATAATCAATTAGATTTATGATATTTCAAATTGAATTCAAATTAATGCACAATTCAAAAACTGTTTAGTCTAGATCACAACACTAAGGGTTTGTTTGAGCTCCATTTTTAAGGAAAATAAATTTTGTAATAGTGATTTTTTGGAGAATGTGCGATTAACAAGTAGGAAAAGCTTTGAGTTTACGGGTAAAATTAATTTATTTGAAGAATGTGTAGTTGAAAATGAATTTGATGAAAAAAAATGAGTTTCTAAGAACGAGGCTCAAAGAGGAGCTAATTCTCGAAGTCCTTCATAACAAAAAAAATCAAATACCATCTCCAGTCAATCCTCCCACATAGACTTTAGCACTTATTGAATCAACCAAAAAGATCAAAGCTCATAAAAAACAGTCACCTTATTCATAGTTACAAAACCACTTGCACTAAAGTCCGGGAAAATATCAAATTCAATCACATGTTCAAGAATTGGTTGAGCTTATCCATGTAGACTGCAGTTATTATCGAACCTAAATTGAGCATAATAGAGAACATATAATAAAGCTTTTAAGATTAATGGAAAATGACAAGCTTCAAGGGCTTTACCATACAAGTAGTCACTTTCACACACTTCGCACATGATTCGGACTGGTTAACAAAATAAAAGAAAAACAACACGCTGAACCGGTACAGGCTTAATAACTACATTCTCAATCATTGCCCTATCATTCAAGTCTTCTACAATAGGATATTTGAATCTACGTCTACATTCAACAAATCTCTCACTATATTTGGCCACCCCAAAAATTTCAAACACATGATCCTTTTGAAATCACTCTGATTTACATCTCAGTTAAAGATCCACATATGTCCCACAAACTCATAAAGATACAATCACTTGACCCAAAAATTCCATTCTACATCAACCATCCAGTCCAACAGACCATTGGCATTAAATGACAAAAGTCACCACCATCCAATCCTCCCATTAGCATGTAATCAATATGTCAGATCCAACTTCACACAAATCATCTAAGCACCTCTACAAAGTCCAACCATTGGCAAAGAAATAGATTCTCCAAAAATTCTCCTAGATCACTGAATCAGCCAACATGATGAAAAGAATTCCAAACTACGACCACTTTAATTACTTAGAACTACGAAATGACTATTAACTTTCTGAAAATAAATGTAGAAATATCATTAACACACCTTTAATTGTGCTACTCTCTCTCTTTGAAATATCTAAAGCATAATGCAATTGCTACATGCTTATCTCGATGCAAGCAACTGCATCAGGTTTTTCGAGGAACTTCTCTTGTTTAGTGATGAGCATTGGCGGATTTAGGGGCTGGCCTGGGCTAAAGCCCATTCAGTTTTCTACCTATAAAAAATTTAATCTATAAAAAATAAAAAATAAAAATTATGTGCAATTTTTTTTCTTTATTTTTTTTAATTTTTTTGGCTTACATATTAGCCTGGCTTAAAATTCATATTAGCGTGGTTCTGGATCTACCCCCTAATGAGAAGAAACTAAAGCAAAGATGTCTCTGTCCTAATTCTCGTCCACAAGTGTGATGCAATTCAATCAAAACAGAGTTATGCTATATTACCAAATTGATTTACCAAAATTATGCCAGATTAACACTTGGCAGCATTTTGGCCCAAAAACATTTTCCAATTACCAATTGAAATACTACCAAGTGTTAATCTAGCACAATTCTAGTAAAATAAATCCCATAAAATGGCATAAATGATTAAAATATGTTAGAAGAGGAAGATGTGGATAGAATTAACATGACATAAATAATGACCTTTGATCCAGAAACCAAACCTCCGGTATTTTTTAATTTTGGTTAAGGTCACTGTAAAAGATTATAATTATTCATGAATAGTCAATAGCGACCGTCATTTTACATTAATTATAGTCTAGTTACAATACCGTTAGTCTCATGTACAAAATTACAAGAATTAAAATTAATAGGTTTCTATTTCAAACTGATAATTCATTTAGCAACTTGGTTAGTCCAGAAACCAGCTCGTTAAGACAAGAGAAGCTACCGAAATTGGTGAATCAATTATTGATTTGACGCAGAAATATATGTACATAATAGATTATCTGCACATACAGCTAAATTTCCAAGTAAGAAAATACCTGAAGCTCCTCAGGGAGGTACTCATGCTTCAAGGAGAGGTCCAAGGCTCGCTTGAGGCGCTGGTTCCTCGCGTCCACGATTTCTCTAGGCAGCCGGTTCAGCGCCTCCTTCACATCCAAATCGTACATTGGGTCGTACAAGTCATCATAGCGCAACCCTTTTTGGAATAACACAGCAAAAGGTTTATACAAAAATCATCAAATTAACACACTCAAACACAAACACTCACACTATCATTACTCTGTGTGTCTCCATATGGATATAAGTTACATATTTGAATAATAGAACTAAACTCACTGTCTTTATAGCTATAGCCTATAGAAACAGACATTTGTATGTAAACAGAAGTACCGTATTTTCGGAGGCGCGTGGAGATGGTTTTCTTGTGGATGGCGGCCAGCGGGTTGCGGTTCGGGTCAACGAGCCACCGGGAGAGCGATGATGCCATTTGTGTCTCTCTCTAGAAAACTCGAGCTTTCTCTTCTGGTTTCTAGAATCTCCTGTTATCTTTGATTCTTTGATGGCCCTCCTTTCGTTTGTCTATCGTAGGCGAAATTCGCCTTAAAATGTTAGTGGAAATGCGACTTCAATAAAAACGGTCCTGCAGAGTTGCGATTCATGGAAAATTCAAATTGAAGTTTTGAGAATAGGAAAACGTTTTAAGCCCCCGTCGATGACCATTATTTTTAAAAACACAATATTTTGAATAATAATTTTTAAAAGAATGTCTATCTAAAAAAAAAAAAATTAAATTTACGTGCTAAATATTTTATAATTTGAAAGTGAGGTAAAAAAATGAGTATTTAGAATAGAGTTTGAAAATAATGATTATCAAACATAGGCTAAAAGGTGAAATACTCTTTATTTAAAGGGTTAAAATTTTAAATTAAGCCTAGATTTGGGAGAAATCATAATTCAAAATTTAATTTAAGTTAAAGTAAAAAATTAATTTTAATCACACGCAACTTTTCATCCACATATTTCAACTTTTATGAAAATTCATTAAAAATTTAATTTTAATTCCCATCAAATAGACTATAATCTCACAAAGATTGCAAATTTTTTTGCAGTATTAAAATTAAAATTATGAAAGGTTCTAAAATTTAACATAATGAAATAAAAAATTAAAGCATAATAATAATAAGTATGTTAGCAATTACTACGAATTATTATTACACAAACCACACCCACGACTTTATATTGTTGTAAAATTTATGTGATTTGTGTAATAAGTTATCAGCTATAAGCATGAGTCAAATAAAATAAATGTGAAAAAGAGTTAGAGAAGCTGGTCTAAAAAATTCGTGATAAACGCTCTAAAATCGTGTGGTCCTTCCGTCATGCGGGTACTTTTGACACTACACCACTCCAAAATAAAACTCTTATAGCTCGCAATCAATTCTCCTTCTATGGGCCGACCACAGGGAGAGAAAGAATAAGCCCTTATCAATTGCCAAAATTAGAGAATAATATAAAATGACCAAAGGGTATTTTTCAAGTGTTTATTTTTTTGTTGTGTGTAAAACAATGGGAAATCCACCCCTTTTATAGTAGAAAAATTCAACACTCTCACAATGAAAATTAATCAAATTAAACATAAATTACAAATATAATGATGAGATTAAATTTTGTATTGAATCTAAAAATTAAAATGAAAAACTAAAAAATTAAAAAATGAAACCTGAAATTTTAATTTTAATTAGAAAGTTTTTAAACTCATTTTTAACATTTCTCTCACATTCACCCACCACTTGTATACACCGCTTCTCTTTTACTTCTTCCTCTTAATTCTTTCTCGTATGGCATCTCAAATTTTGGATTGATTCTTCTATTATGAATGAAGCAAGATAATTGTAGGATAAAATAAATCAATCACAAACAAGAACGTCAATATTTTACGTAGAAACTCAAGATAAGAAAATAGCATGGACAGAAGAGGAGAATTCACTAAATCAAAAATCAAGAACAATGATTGTTGTTACAAGATTTGATGCACTCTCATCCAAATCTAAAGTGTTTCTAATGTTACGAAGAGTGTACAAGTCGTGGAATATATATATACAAACTGGAAAACAGTATTTGGAATTGAAATGCGACAACTTTTTCTCCTTGATCCATATTTGGACTCCTTTAAGACATCTTCATGCAAACACCAATTCTTAATAGAATTTAGGTCACAATTCTACAAATCTCCACCTTAAAACATAATCTCCAATGCAATGAATTACTTTTCACTCTTCATGTAACACAGCCAAATCTAGATACCCAGATTTGAAAGCATTATCATTAAATGATCCTTTAAAACCATAAATGTGAAAAATGATTAAAATTTTCTTCAACAAAATAAACATCAATGAATTATTATTTTTAAATAAATTGTGGTTAATATAAATATATGACAATTAAATTAAAAATTAACTTCACCTATAAAAATGAATTTAATGTATAAATATGATAATCCTGAGTCCATCTTGAGTCATTGTGTCAAATTATCTTACTTTCATCATCTGAAAAATGGGGAGGGAAAATGTAGAATGAGCCAACGTCTAGTAAGCAAACCTCATGCATATGATGCATACTTATGATGTGCATATACATTACTTTAAAATAAAACGTGTTTCTCATTATGTATCTCATTTTCTTTCGTTTTTTTTCAAACTTAATATTAACATTCTGAGTTCACTTGATATATCATCTAAAAAATCATAATGCAACGGACAATTATTATTTAGAGTCCGATTCATCCACTGATTGTACCGCAAAGCTATTAGCATTAACATTATCCTTGAACATAAACATTGGTCAGGTGCACCAATCCCCCCAATTGGTACTGGGATTCAACTTAAAATTCTCTTAAGGGAAAGGTTAACGAAAAGGTCGTTGGTTTGAATCTTGAAGAAGCGATAGAAAGTCATAAGGGCAAGATAGACTCAAACCCTCCCATAACAGATATTACATAAGTCGACGGCTTAGGCACATAGGCCGATCGTTATACTACAACAGTCAATTCTACATATTTTCCACAATCCCCTAAGGATAATTCAACAACAAATATCAACCAAATCCAAGCAATGCACAAACTTGGCAACAGAGAGTGTCTTTGTCAACATATCAACGTGGTTATCCTTAATATCAACCTTAATGTAATATCACTACAAGCAATCACATCACGTGCAACGTGATATTTCACGTCAATGTGCTTTTTCGTCTCGTAAAAATCAATCCTTTGTCAAGAAAGATATTACTCTAATTATCACAATAAACTGTAGACATTTGCAAGTCTTCATTGATTTCACCAAACGATACCCTCAACCATATAGCTTCCTGACAAACCTATGTAATATCTAAATACTCTATCTAAGAGTGTCAATTTGGCTCTTCAAATCTGCCTGAGAAAAGTCCCAGTCGGCCCAGCTCAAGGTTTGCCTGTGTGGCTCGAGCCTTAAAATAATTAATTAATTGCAGTAGTATAGCAGGTAGCACACACTGCCTATAAACACAGGCAGCATGTGTTGCCTGCTTGCTCGTATTCATAGGCAACAAAAAGGTATAGGCAACAATAACGCCTATCACAGGCAATGTGCAACTATATGGGCTGCCTGTTTGGTAGCTAAGTAGTGTATATATTAATAAGAAAAATTGAGCTGACTCGGCTATATAAAACTCGAGCCGAAAGTTCGGGTCGAGCCTAGATTTTTTGGTCGAGCAAAAGATTAGCTTGGGCTAAAAAAAGCCATAATCATTTTCACTCGAGGCTCGGCTCGGCTCGGCTCATCTCATTGACATCCCAAACAAACGCTATCTCAATAGTAGATAATGCAATTGTATTTTGTAATGTAGAATTCTAACTAATACCACAACTCCCAAAGGTAAACACATATCCCGTAAATGATATTCTTTCATCAAGATCTCATGCATAATCCGAAATCAGCATACCCAATGACTTCAACGATATTTCTCCCAAAATATGAACAATCATTAGTAGAGCATGCAAGTATTTGAATATCACCACACTGCTTTTCAATGTTCCTTACTAGGATTCGTGTTGTAAATCGGACCAAATAGAGACAAGGATAATATGAGCAATATGAAAATAATGGATCACACAAGAACATGAGAATTTTAATAACCTTGAACTAAAATTGTTTCACAAGATTTGGTACTTTCAATATAAACTAAACAATCATCTCGAGTTTATAATGTATATAACAATGAACTTATTGTTACTTTAACCTATAAAGAGCCTACACGTTGTCAAGTATATATAGGAGTCCAATTTTGGAATTCTGGATGAAGTAGAGCACAAAAAACTGCAGTAGAAATCAACTACGAGTCTTTCTCCCAGCTAGGTAGTGTCGCGACACTATTGTCATTGCTTCCCTTTTGCGTTGTCGACGCCTAGACGCCCTGTCTTGGACCCATTGCTTCCAAAACACTTCCTTATCCATTCCAAAATCATTTCCACAATCAACTCCTAATTCCTAATGAAATTTGATCCCTTATCAATTCAAATTTCCAAACCAAAATTATCTAGGCTTCCTCTATGAATCAAAATCCAAATCACATAGAATTTGAATCACAATATAACAAACTCCACCTTGACACAAATTTTATAGCAATGTATTAGGCCTTCATTCTTCCAATCATTCTCTATCTCTTCCACCATTCTCTTTCCAGGCATACTTAGCAATAATGAATAGAATTCAAGCACTGTTTGCATGCAAACTATCTTGGGCCCCAAACATGCTTGAAATATCCAGATTCACTTCAACTCTACTGAGTTTCCTATCATGCTCAAAGTATCCCCACGAACAATATGATCAACAAGATCACAACTAGCTCTACCTGAGCTACTGGTACATTAAAATTTGGATTTTCCGAAAAGTAAACAATTTTGGTAACAAAACTATATCGCTTCT